TACTCATATAATGACTTGTTCAATAGGTGTTGCGCTGGTACGTTGCCAGACTTCTGTTTCATCAGTATTTGAATAGACTTTATATTTCTTTGGTATCTTGTAGTAGTGCAGTCAACAGCTTTAGCTGAGTTATCCAGCCCTGCCATGGAACCTCATTCATTAAAAATAAAAGCTACAAGCTGGATTTCTAAAGATGACTTGCAGATCCCAGTGGTAGAGGAACTACATGACTACAACATTTTGGTCTCAGGATTCTGTCTTGCTAGGAAGTAGCAAATAGATGAACAAGGTTCTCTGGCCCTTTTATCTCCAGAAGATCATGTGTGGTTTCTGTCATGGCCTGAGTGCTCCACTGATTGCTGTTGCTTGCTGGTCTATGTTAGAGGATTGCTTTACCAGAAGGACTTTGTGGAATTTCTAGCAATCCTATAGTCTTCTCTTCTCTATCCTCTGACTCATAAGAAGGGCAAATAAACTTTACAGCCTCTGAGAGTACGTCTACACTGCACAGTTATTTTGGGATGCCTCCAGCATCCCAAAAGAGCTACCCCACTTCTTAACAAGCCACCTCTTACTTTGAAATATTTTTTGAAATAACGGGAGCATTATTTCGGCATTTTTGTATCTCTTGTTCCACGAGCGTTAAGGAATGTCTCGAAATCTTGTGTTGTTTCAAAATTTGACGCTGTGTAGACATGTCAAATTTCAAAATAAGCTATTTTGAAATAGATTCGAAATAAGATACGCAATTTGCATAGAGTGAATTGCATATTTTATTTTGAGTTTAGGGTGCTATGTAGACACACCCTGAAATAGAAACCCTGAATCTTCAGTCTCGGGATAACTGATACAGGCAAAATAGGCTTCTAGAACTGAAAGAATCATTGATACTAGAGACAGGAGAGAGCAGTCTCCCTATATACCTGGAAGACAACGAGTAGGACATTTTTTTTAAATGATGAGATAAATGAGCAGTTTGTATTGCTGAAATATTGTTGAACAAGAATCTAATATTGAATGAGGAATTTTGGGGATCTTATCTAGCAACTATATTTATATAATCCCTCTGTAGTTGTACTAAATCCTTAGTTGTAATTTTCTTAGATGCTTATACTTCAGGAGATTCTCTGGATCATAAGATGGAAAGGCCTTAGGAATTTTCAAATGTATTCACTCAGCCAGATCTTCTAGTGTTCTTCAAGAAGGCCATGGAATGGCTTGCCCAGTTCCATATAGATTTTGCAGTAGAATCACAGATGACTAAGGAATGATTCAATTCATGTCTTACTAATACAGTCCTTATTGAGATTAGCCTATGTCTCTGTAATATTAGTGTCATATCTAATCATCTCCTTGGTGTCAAGGTTAAATTTTATCACTTTAAGGAAGCAAAACAGTTCTGTAAGAAGCATAAACTTATTAAAATGGGAAGTTAAATCAGTCCTCTTGGACAAACCTGACCCAATTATTCAATATGATCCCTACAGACAGTTTTCTCCTAAACAAAATCTGGATTTTATTCATAAAGCACAGAAGCAAGAGTAAAGTGGTTATTTTGACTTGTCTTTTATCCAACATTTAATAAGAGGGAACTGCCACTTTCCTAACAGAGGCTTATGATAACAGAGGGTATTATCTACAATAAACTATGATTACTTCAGATAATTTAATTCTACTTTCAGGTAATGAGAGAGAAATATTATGAAGAGTGAAGTATATGAGAATATTTTTATGAAACTAAACACTTAGCTATTGTCTCACCTATGTGAATGGAGTTTTCTTGTTTACTGCATGTATCAGTGCAGTAGTGAGCAATCTGAGGGCTGCATGCGGCCCATTGGGGTTCTACGGGATATTTTGTCTACCAATGCCCATGAACAGGGTTGCCTCTGGTATTAATTCATGTAGGTTTTTTAAAAAAGCAACACACATTTAAAGCAAGGGCACATGAAGTGAGGTGCATGCTCATTGCACATAACGTTGACTGTGGGAGCAGTGGCTCCCTCTGCATCCAATCAATGTGCTATGGTTCAGTAGGCACACCCTGCAAATTCTAAGTATGCAAACACAGTTAGCAAAACTACCCTATCCTGGGAGACCATCTTTGTGATGATGATCTTGCAACGCTTTGAGATTAAGGGCCACTTGTGGCACAATTTAGGGTATGTCTATACAGCAGAGCAAAAATCAAATGAAGATACACAAGTTCAGCTAAGACAGTAGCATAGCTGAAGTCGAAATAGCTCAATTCGGCTTTTAGCACACTACACACCAGAAAGTTGAAGGAAGAACACTTTTTCTGTTATTTTGGAATAACACCAGTTATTCTGAAATAACTTTGCTGTGTAAACATTCTAGCCTAAATTGCCCTTCACTGTATCAGTGATTAAGATGTTGCTATGTGTAAACATTCTAGCCTATATTGCCCTTCACTGTATCAGTGATTAAGATGTTGCTGACAGGCATTAATGTGAACTGATTTTACTTGTTAATAGTGGTCTCACCACTGCCTTCCTGTCCCTTGTCATCTTGTTGCTTGACAGTGGTAGTTCCTTGTACTTGGGGCATTTTTATCATCCTGTCACCTGGACCTGCTCTGGGCACATAATGGAAATGGGGCAATCAAAATGCCTGTGGCATTACTGCTGATGGAGCCGGGAAAAGTAGGACACTTCCTAAAAAAAATGAACAGCAAAAATTAGCAAGTTTGTTTCAAGATGTCTTTCGAGTCAGACTGAGAAACACAGCCTTCTCAGTGTGAACCATTACCGTGCTTATCTTCATAAGCATAAGGGCTAAAAATGCAGAAGTGCATATATAGTAAGCTTTGTAGCCATTATTCACTGCCTGTACAGTCCCACCAATTTTAACACTATTGAAAGCTGAAAGTGAGATGAGTTCAGATTTAATGCTATCATATATATATAGTAGCCCAATGTCTGTGACTCTGTAATGCTGAAACGCTGGCTGTTCCCCCTGGTGGCGCTGTTGCCTCCCGCTGTGGTGCTCGGCTGACTTCTGCGCCGCTCAGCTGGGCTCCTGAGAGAAGGCTCAGGAGAGAAGACGGACATGGAGGAGAGACCTGAAAATCTCGTTTTATGATGGGCTGATTGGCTAGTTATATAATAGGGGTGTAAAATCTTATTTAATTAACCAATTAAATGTTAAGTTTAATCAGTTAATTAAATGGAAGCAAGTGGGGGGTGGCCCCCCCAGCCTGCCACGGGAGGGCTGGATTGTTCCCCACCTCCCCATGAATGGAGGCTGCTTTGGCCAGGCTGGAGTGCTCCCAGCCTGTGGAGAGCCCTGGGGGCTGGAGCAGCCCCTTGCTCACAGCTGGTGGGGAGATGGGCTGCTCCAGCCATTACTGGTTACCTGTTAACATCCCTAAAATCAAAGCTTTTTCTTGTTGATTTAAATCGAACCACCTTTCAGTACAGAGGGGAAGGAGGAAGCTCCTTGACTCAGTGCAGAAAGGTGAGGAATGTAGGGAGGTCAGGGCTGGATTTCCCAATAGGCAGGCTAAACACGTGCTTAGGGCACCAGCAAAGCAGGGGCACCAAAAAAAAATGAGATTTTTACGGTATAGTATTGTTTTTATTTTGAATTACATATGGGGGGGGGCACCATAATCTTTTCAGTGCTTAGGTCCTCTTAAGGTCTTAATTTAGCCCTGCGCAAGGAGAAGGTTAGGGGCATGAGCTGAAGGGGCTGGACAGGGACAGAAAATTGGGGTAGGAATAATAACAGAGGCAAGATCTGGAAAGGGAGTGTTGTACAGGAACAGAAGGCGGCATGATCGCTAGAAATCCTACAGAACCTTGAACTGAACCTGTTAATCACAAGTCAACATTCCTTTGCTGTCTTATCAAATAGCTGTGAAACTCTTTGGCAGTGTCTCCATCCCCCTCTAGTGGCAGTTGCACATATAAGAAGTCTTTCACTACTGGTTACTCCAATAGTAGAGGACTTTTCCAAAGATCTCAA